GTTAGGCCTCATGTTAGTTTCACATGGCCAGTGTTTTATCAGACTCAGCTTCTGACTTTTGCAATGATTTACATGGGGAGGAAGCCTGATATCTTAAGGGGGAAATGGGAACCAGACTCCATTTTCACTGGCGCTGTGATTACTCTTTATTTGCCGTCCTAGGTGTGTGGGGAATTAGCCTGCGTGTGCACGCCTTTTATGACATAGAATCATATTTGATGTTGGAACAACCCCACGGCGATGTACTGGGTTTTTTTTTTTTTAAATTGTAACATGTAAACATTGGCATCTTATTAAAAATTAAATGTTTGAACTCTACTTTTTAAAAAATAAAACAAGCACAGAGTCCTCAAAAAAATGTTGCCAACAGAACAGAGAATAATTTCACGACGCGTTTCTCCTGGCTGCCACCTGTGCAAACCTGACCCTGGTGACTTGGCTGTAGTATCTGGTGAAGGTAAAGACGCATCCTTAACATCATCACCCAAGAGTGAAACGTTCTTTTGGTCAGCTTTAAAACACCTTGTTCTTCGCCTTGGTGGGTAGATGACCAAGTAAAAATTCAGACTGGGGCTGTAAATCTCCAAAAGTGGGGTGGGACCACTGTCCCTGGGCCATCTGTGTGTCTGCCTTGCGTGCTGAGGTGGCAGTCCAGCTTGGACAGGCGTCCTAAATCTCCATTCATTGTTCTATCTTTTCTTTCAACCTTACTTTGGGAATCGCAAGGTTATAATTATGTCTTTTCCTCACCAGTTGTTTGATTCTCAACCCTACAGAAAAGTTGAAAAAGTAGTACAAAGAATGCCCACATACCTTCCACTTAGTTGCTAGCAGCTGTGGAAGTGGCCTCGCTTCACGGAACCCCCACGCACAGCAGAACAAATGCTGCCTGGCCCCGTGCCATTCTCACGATCTGTTGCAGAGTTGTGCTCTGTAGGGATTTCACTGGCTGAATTTTGGAAGTAGATTGCCAGGCCTTTCTCCCTAGTCCGTCTTGGTCTGGAAGTTCCTTGAAACCTGTTCAGCATCCTGGCAACATGCAAGCCTCAACTGGGTGGTGGCTGCACATGAGATGATGCATTGGCCCGGAATCAAACCCAGTGTCTCCTCATGGAAGGCAAGAATTCTACCATTCAACCACCATTGCCCCCTTTAGTTGATTGTAAGACCCCCTCCCCCCAATCAACAGAGATTCAGCTAGCCTTTCTTTTCACCTTCTGCAAGAATTTTTCCAAAAAGCCAACAGAAATCCTGATCTCTCAAACTTCTTGACATCAAACTCTCAAACTTGTTGACGTCAACAAACTTCTCGCGGACTCCAAATTGATGGGAAATTATTAGAAAATAAACAGTTTGGGACAAAATCTCACTTCTCTGCACCTTCCATACTTCCAGACAGAGCAAAATCTCTGCAGCATGATGTGAATGTAGAACTAAAGGCTCATTAGGAACACTTGTTGAAAGAACCACGTTTTGTGGGCCTTGGCTATTTCTCTTCAATATGATGTCGTTAAGTCAGGGCAAATGTGAACAAGCAGTGATTTGTCTGAAGGGGGACAACCCATCGTTTTCAATTCTGGGGGCTTAGCTAGAGCTAGCTAGAGTGGCCTTGCAAGTAAGCATCCGGGCTC